ACAAAATGTCAGTGCCTGCCACATAGCAGCTGTGAACGGTGGGCCAGGGCAGTGAACGCTGCCCTTGGAGTTGAGCTGATGGCAGCTCTGATGTCGCCGATGTGTGCACAACTGTTCACTACAGTGTCACTTATAAAAGCAGAAGGCTAAAAATAACAACTGAGTAACCAACTGCATGGACATATTTTCGTAGGTTATATATGTACTCTTAATGGAATCATAGACATCACTAAAAATAGCGCTACAGAAAAGTACTGAAACATGATGATGAGATAATGCTAAGTGAAAAAAATTCATCTACAAAAGAGTATGTGTACTAAACACCTTTTAAATTCTCTGGACGATGGGGTCATACCGTTTTTTACTTTCTTATCTAACTTTTTTAAAAATAGACACATTTTTTTCAGAATCCTACATAAGCTATATAATCTCATTTTAAGGGAAAAAATTTCTTAAAAATATTTTTTCAAAAAGTGTCAAGTAGGATGAATACCATATACAGAATATGATTCCAAATTGGCTTTTTAAAAATGTGTTTAGAGGAAAAGTCTGGAAGGACATCCACCAAACCATGAACAAATGTTATCTTGCCTCAGTGGCATGAAGGATGCCATTTAAAATCAACATGGAACACGGTCAGTTAGTAGTGGGAGTAGTATCATTCACCGAGTGCTTATGACACAGCAAACACTCTACTGGGTGTTCTCCACACACTGTGACATGTAATGTCCCAGCAGCCCTCTGAGGTAGGTGTTCCCTCTGTTAACCAATTTTCCAGGTGAGGACATGGAGACTGAGAGAGGCAAAGTTCCTTGCCCAAACTCAGCTATGGCTTGCTGACAGCCTCATCAGACAGACATGGAGCTTGCCTTCCTCAGTCGCAAGGAGGGGTTTTTCATTCATCAGAAACGATCCACTATAATTTTTCCCTAAAAGACAGCCAGTGGCTGAACTTCTCCAGGGGGCAGTTGCACAGAGTCCCCTGTGGGGAGCAGGGATGCCCCAGCGCCTCAGCATGCTCCCTCCAGACTGACCGGGTGTGGCCAGACAGGGTGAGGAGGGAGAGAAATCCTGGTCACCTCCGGAAGTCTGAAAGGGTTAGAGGAAGGAAGAGAGGAAAAGACTAGCAAGCCGCAGCCTGGGTGAGTTTGGGAAGAGAATAAGGAATAAGGAATTTAGAGAGCGGCGGGGAGGGTAATTCGCCAAGGAGAATTTTAAGAAATGTCAGGCTGCCCTGCGCATTGAATGTCCTGCAACATGCAATTACCTGTTACCACCACTGGCGTCTGGGTTGTGCTTCTCCTAAAGTGGCACCACATTAAGAATAAATCATGTGAAGCCCCGAAATTTGCTTGTATCATATTTATACTTACATGTTTTTCTTTATTTAAAAAATTGCAATGAGCACGTGATTCATGTCCTCAGGAAGATAAAAACATATGGAAGTTTTAGGTGTTGTAGAACAACTGTTTCTTCAGATGGAGAATGGCCGGGGGAGCAGCTACGCATTTCCTCACCCAGGAACCACTGAGATTGTTTGCGTTCTGTCCCGCTAGGCGTATTTGCCAGAAGGGAGTCCCCAATACCCAAAGGACTTTGTGGACTGTACATGGCACCCAGGTTTATGCTCGGCCCAGTCCTGTGTGTCTCGAAGGCGGGGAAGTGGCACTTAACACCATTTCAACTGAATTTACTAACTTTTTGTCAATCTGCCCGGAACTGTGCCCGACCAGAGGAGGGGGCTGCAAGGTGAGAGGGGCACTTCCATTTTGCCCAGTCTATTGCCTGCGATCTGAAGGGGGCTGAGAATTTCACGTGAGCAGGATTTCTAGCTATTTAGTTCATGGCTTACCCTCAGCACCTGGCACAATGCCTGGCCCTTAGATGGCATTCAACGAGGGTGTGTCGAGGAATGAGATAAGGCTTAACACCCTGGGAAATGCATCAGCTCTTCCCTTGCAAGCCCCAATGACTCCCGTTGGAATTCTCTCTTCTTTAGTTGAACTCTACGGTAACCCTGGCTCAGAAACTCAGAGTGAAAAAATCCAGGGTTGGCCAGGAAAAGAACCAATGTAATAGAATTATAAACAGGTATAACAAGTAAAGTATTGGCTCTCCTAACTTTCATTCTTTATTCATTTACGTTTCCCACATACCGTATGCCAGGCACTGTGCTAGGTCCTGAAGATACAAACCCTGAACCTGGCCATGGTAATGAGGATAAACAGAGCATCCCTAGAATTAATACTATCCCCCAATAACAATTAGTGTCCAGTACTATGTTCCAGGCATTGTTCTAAGCACTTTCCATGGATCGCTTTGTTTGTTTATAGGTAGCATGTTACATTATGCCCATTTTACAAATGAGCAGGCTGAGACTCAGAAAGGTGAAATAAGTTGTTCACATTCCACAGCTGGTGATGAAGACCAGGCTTAGGTTCCTATGGTCTAATGCCTGTGCTCATGGCTCTTGATGGTTTCCCGAGAGGTAATTCTGCAATCACTGGCCTGCAAATCACCAGGATGCGGAATAAAAATGCAGATTCCCGGGCCTGGGCTGAAGGATGGGCATCTCTGGGACAGGAGCCTGGAAATCCCCATGTTTTAACCATTAACCTGGGTGATTCAGATGTGCACTACAGTTTGTAAAGCACAGCACTCAAATGTGCCACACTCACCTCTCATGAGTTTACAGAACCTCTAGCACCCGCCCTCCTCCACGCCACCATCACTTCCTGCTCACCGTCACTTCCTGCTCACCATCACTTCCTGCTCACCGACAAAAAGAACAGACTAGGAGGCCAGGGTGAAAGGGAAGGCGGGAGGGAGAAAGGGAGACAGGAAGGAACTTGTCCCAAGCTGGACTCTGTTTCAGTTCAGGGCAGGTTGACGCTGAGCCCTCTGCGACTCTGCTCTTAAACCCACAGCAGCATGCTCCCTGCAGCCAGGAGGCACTCCTTATGGGTGGTGACGGCTATGCAGTAGAAGCTTCTAGAAACAGCAGTGGGGTGAGATTTAGCTGCACCCGGGGCTCAAAACCTGAAAGTTTATCCTTCCCCAGATCAGGACAGTACTGCACTGGGTCTTCTAGTGGGCGGTGTCCGCATCAGCCTGCACGCTGGGGACATTCCGCCAACAGGACATGGGGCAGAAGGAGGGGCAGAGACAGGAACTCTGCCTCTGAGTGGGCTGTACACCACCAGAAAAATGAAGAACCCTCCATTCCGCAGGAAGTGGTTGGTGTGAGCATGGGGTTTGCAGGGTCCACAAGCGGGTATCCACTCCTGGTTTTCACCAGCAAATCACATGGCCACCCTGAGTCTCAGTTCCTTGTGCATAAAAGGAACCTTTTACTAATAGCTATCTAATTATTATTATCTGTGATTTATCGAACACCTTTTTTTATGGCAGGCACTGCCTTGAGGTAATTAGTCAATCTCCATAACAAATATCAATGAAGTCATTTTTGTCTCCATTTGACAGAAGGAGGAAATGAATCTAGAGAGGTTAAGAAATTTGCGCAGTAGTTCCCAGCAGGTAACCAGTGAGGCCAGGATTTGATCTCAGGTCTGTCTGATGTCAAAGCCTGTCCTCGTAATAGCTCCCGATTCCTTCTCCAATGTTCCTTCTAGTTCCCACGACTAAGCACCTCAAACACGCATGTTCACGGTTTCAAAGAAAAGAGGTACCACTCTGTCTTCCCAGCCCCACCTCTGAGCCTCGAAGATTAAAATACGGGTTAGTTCTTCTGTGTCTGGCAGGGATTCAGCAAAAAATAGAGTATGTTGCTCTGTCAACTGAGACAGTTGTCAGCACAAAAGGGGCCCCGGGGGTATCTAGCAGGTAGACCACGTCTCAGCCCTGCCAAGCAGACGTCAGAAACAGGGCTTCCGCTGCCTTCGTTCGCTTTCCCAATGATCTGGACTGAGGAGACCCTCTCTGCATGATGAACACTGAGGGGCCTTCAGACGCCACAGAGCGTTCCCGGAAAGCCCAGACCCCTAGCCCCATCCCTCTCTCTAATCTCACCTCCCACCATTTGCCCTTCATTCACTCCTACTTCCTCTGTTCCTCAAGTAGGTCAAGGTCACTCCCACCTCAGGGTCTCTGCGATTGCTGTGACCTCTGCCAAAAATACTGTTCCACCTGCCCAGAAGATGCTCTCTCCAGATCTTCACAAGCGTCCTCCTTGTCGTCCAGGTCTCAGATCGTGGTCCCCTCTCTGGGAGGCCTTTCCTGGCCGGCTTATCTAAATTAGCACCCCCAGTCTATTCCTTTCCATCACACCTCCCTACTGCATTCATGGTGCTTAACATTATCTGGAACAATCTTATTCATTCTTTGCTCACATGCCCAGAAAAGTGTCTAGCAAATGGTTGCCTGTCCATGACTGCGTGCTGCATAGATGGATGAATGGAAAAAAAAAACAATAAATGGGAAATCTTAGGAACTTTTTTTGTAATAAGGATCCAGGAATCCATACTCAGAAGTAACCCCCCCTTTTCAGTCCACAAGGGCAGAGACCACAAGAAATAACACTGTGGTTGGTAACAACTTAACAACCAGCCGGCAGCGATATGCACACACATTGCTGGGCATGGTTCCAAAGCTAAAAAGGCACTAATTGCTTTTCTATAAGGAGGGAGAAATGCAGTCCCTCCGTGTCCTTTGGTCCTGATGGTCTGCATTATCGTATCTGTTACCGTGTTAATTGTTCCTTTCTCACGCGGCCAGTTCGGGCTTCATTCTGCCTAGGTCGGGGATGCTGACAGGTTCCTATACAGAGAAGAGAGGTACTAGGCGGAGTGTGTGTGCTTGTGTTCGTGTGTGCATGTGTGTATAAAAGCAGCGACACTCTGGGAAGTGATATTTGCAGGCAGGCTGCCTGCGCTCAGGTTCCTACGGCTGGGCCAGGAATGGGAGGGGTGGGCCTGGACGGTGCGGCGGGCTTGGCTGGCACTGGCTGCTTCTCCAAGACAGGAGTGCGAGTGCTTGCCCAGCTGGACTGAGTGTGGTGAATTCAAGTTGCCTTTAGGAATGGCTGAAAAAGCCCACACCTGGAGATCCCTCCCTCCCTGCCCCTCCACAGCAGGTCGCATCTGGGAGACTCTCCAGTCATTAGAGGAATGAGCCGGGAGTGAGCAATTCGCCAGCTCACCAGCACTGGGTGGAAAGCAGCAGGCAAGGATGGATGTGGTCAACAGCCTTCTTGTGAATGGAAGCAACATCACCCCTCCTTGCGAACTAGGCATCGAAAATGAGACGCTTTTCTGCTTGGATCAGCCCCATCCATCCAAAGGTAGGCGTCAGAGGACTGCTGTTTTAATTCAGAAAACTATTAGGTGGAGGGAGAAATCAGCAAGGGCAAGGATGATAGAGAAAAATAAAACTAAGTCCTCATGAGACAAGGCTGGATAAAGTCATCTGTTAAGAAGTTTGGATAAGAGATCAAAAAGCAGAATTGAGTCAAATATTCTCATTGTTCCCCCTCAGGAGAGTGGGGCTTAATGGATGGGACGTGGGGGGAACAAAAGCAGTGGGAGGAGGTGCTGAAGTGTAGCAAGAAGGCATACAAGTGTCTAAGCTCGAACTTACAAGCATTACAGAAAAGGTGCTGTCACGACCTAGCTGTTGCCTTTGCTCGGGGGAAATCCGGCGTGAAGAAGTGATTAAAGCGAGATAATGTTTAGCAGCTAGAAAGAAAGCAATCACTACTCACTGAAGCTTTGTGCTTAAGAAAAAGTAGTTCCCTGAATGATCCTTTAACGAACCAACCTTTCAGAAGCAACGGAATCACTCTGTGCTCTCCCCAGTTTGTTTCTGCAAGATATTGTCTGTCCATGAATAGCTGGGTTCGAGGATTGCACCCCTGCGAAGAAAAAAAACCCGGGAGGAACTAATCGTTGGCTTCATGTTCTGAGGTTTTAACATTCTGCTCTCATAACCTCCATCCCTCCGTCTTGTCCCTGTTACTCTCTGCAGAGTGGCAGCCAGCTGTGCAGATTCTCTTGTATTCCTTGATATTCCTGCTCAGCGTGCTGGGGAACACGCTGGTCATCACGGTGCTGATTCGAAACAAGAGGATGAGAACCGTCACCAACATCTTCCTGCTGTCCCTGGCCATCAGCGACCTCATGCTCTGCCTCTTCTGTATGCCGTTCAACCTCATCCCCAACCTGCTCAAGGATTTCATCTTCGGGAACGCTGTTTGCAAGACCACCACCTACTTCATGGGTGAGTTGCTGCCATGACTATTTCTGGAACTCGCCCCAGACCCCACTCAACCCCAGACATTCCAAAACCCCTGACAGCCTCGGGCAGAGGGTCCTTGCTGAGTGTAAATATCAAAACGTCTGTCTGTGTAGGGCTGTGCGCAAGGATTCAGGTACTGACTGAGTCCTCATAACTCTCCCGAAGTCAGTCCCCAGTCGCCTGTTTCAGAGGTCAGTTTCTCAGAGAGGAGTTAGTTGATAAGAAATCACAGAAGGGGCTGGTTTTGCTTGCTTCTGTTAGAAAGAAAGAGATGCAAGCTGCTCTGTCACTTTCTGGAAGCTGCTGGTTGTATTCTGAGCTCTACCCAGGGACAGCAAAGGAGGACGAGGAGCGTTCTTTTTGTCGTCGCTCTTGCTTTCCCAGGGAACAGGGGCTATTTGACAACCAGTTTCAACACAGCTCTAGACTCCTTTCTCAGGATTCACTTCCCAGCCTGTTCCCCCAGAGACAGAGAGGCCTCTGCCCCTAGATGAGGAGTTGAATTTGCTCACGGGGGCTGTGAGGTCAATAAGTTGACCTTGATTGGCTGAAATATGCAGCTCTCTGCCTCTGCCAATCAAAATGATGATGATGATGATGATGATGATGATTTTCAACACAGCCCTAGACTCCTTTCTCAGGATTCACTTCCCAGCCTGTTCTCCCAGAGACAGAGAGGCCTCTGCCCCTAGATGAGGAGTTGAATTTGCTCACGGGGGCTGTGAGGTCAATAAGTTGACCTTGATTGGCTGAAATATGCAGCTCTCTGCCTATGCCAATCAAAATGATGATGATGATGATGATGATAATGATGATAAAAATCACAAGGGCTAATATTTTGAGTACTTTTTATGCACCCAATGATATGCTAAGCGTTTTTACCTTCGTGATCTTATTGGATTGGCCAAATACCCTATGAAGTACAGCTATTTTTCTCTAGCTCACTGAGGCGGGAACAGAGGCACAGAGAAGTTAATAATGTGCCCAAGGACACACAGGGGGTGAGCCACAGAGCTGGGATTAGAACCCAAATCAGCGGCCACTACAGTGGTGATGAACAAGGACATGTCTTCTTGGTCCCCTTGTCCCTTGCCTATTCTGAGAACCAGTTGGGAGGAAGAGGAGAGGCAGGAAATGGGAGGGAGCTGGTTTTGTTCTGACCTAAGCCTTGCAATATTCACAGCTGAGTTGGGCTAGGGCAGTCTTCAGTGACCAGAATTCTTTAAAAGCCTGTATTTCTCCCAGTTGAGGAAGCCGGATCCAGCACTAACCAAATGATGATGAATTATCAACCTGCGTGCCACAGACAAATAACCAAGAAAGTGTCACTCTGTGTTCAAGTTTTCCGAAAATAAAAATAGACTTGCAGAGGAAAAGGATCACTAGCATTTCATAGCACTTTTGGCATTCAGAGCCTGTCCAACTATATTTTAAGAGAATGTTATTTAAGAATCTTAACAAGAACATGTGAAAGGAGGTTTAAAATGCGTGCTCGTGCAGTTGCACAACATTGTGAATTTGCTAAATGATTTTAAATGGTCAACTTTGTGTTATGTGAATTTCACCTCGATAAAAAAAATTTTTTCAAAAATAGCTCAAATGAAAAGCAAAACAATTCTGAAAATGTTTGCAATATTGTAACGGTTCTGCTGGACTTCTGTCATTTCAACTCTTCTCTTAATTTTGAGTTTTCCTCAATACTATTGCTAACAGTTAACGTTTATTAAACTCCTGATATGTAGCCAAAAAAAAAAAAGTGCTTGCCTGATGGTGGGTTTATAATTACGGTGGACTCATCGTACAGACTTGACTCTGAGGAGTTCGGGGCTATTCTCTCTCATTTAAATGTCAACTCCTTAGGGTAAAGTCCATTGAAACACAGCAAATCCTGCCTGAGAACATGAGTTTTAATTTAACAGTTTGGGGATTATAGTTTTCTTAAAGTGTCTTAGAAATACTATGGAAATTCTCCCTAGGAAAAAAAACCTTTTTATATGTAGTCTCAGAGAATTAACTTATATCCATAAAAGGCCCCCAGCTAAGAACTTCCGCTCCCAAACTTAGAGGAATTCTTAGATTTAAGAAATCATGGTAAGGGTTAATCAGAAGAGTCGAAGGACTTCATGGATGAAGAATTAAAAGGGATTTTAATGAGATAAGACATTATAATAAATATACACACAACAGCACAAAAAATATTAAGGAAAATTAAGCTTTTCCAACTATAGCTCAGTACATGATTTTAAATGAGGTGTTTTGGTGTCTTTCTCACGGATGATGCATGCTCATTCTACAAAACATAAAAAGTCAAAAAAGATAATAAGGAAGACTCTAGTTTTCCCACTCGGAAAAACCTTTAGTTGCAGTATGCGATTTTTACTCCTCATCGTTTTTTATTGTTTTGTTCTGTTTTTTTTCGACACACTACATTTTGAAATCTAGTAATGTTTCACTCTTAAAAACATTCTTACTAGAAATTTTCAGAAAGAGTTTTAATGCCCTTAGCCCAGACCCCAGTGACTTTGGGGGTCATAGTCCTTGAGAATCTGAGTGATAAGATCAACTTAACTATGCAGATCATGCTCAAAATGAGAGCTTTTCTATGGGTTACTCCATAATCTCCTCTGTGGGATAGGAACATATTTCATCCCCTCGGTTATTAATTAATGAGCACCTTCTGCCCAAGAAGGAGTTCAAAAGTCAATAAACTTAACTGAAAATTGGCAGTAAGATATATTTGCAAATACATTTCTTTAACTGCTTTCTTAAATCCTTTTTGGAACAAAGCTGGAAATAAATCATTCTTTTAAAAATATAACACACAAGATTTCTTTACCCCGAGTTGTTTCCTTTGATAGCACACCTGTGCGGATCAGATATACTTGAGCAAAGGTGCGCGTAAACTTTGGGGTTCAGAGCCGCAAAACTGACTTCTTTGTTCCTTCCCAGGCACCTCTGTGAGTGTATCCACTTTTAATCTGGTCGCCATATCTCTGGAGCGATACGGTGCGATTTGCAAACCCTTACAGTCCCGGGTCTGGCAGACGAAATCCCACGCTTTGAAGGTGATTGCTGCTACCTGGTGCCTCTCCTTTACCATCATGACTCCGTACCCGATTTATAGCAACTTGGTGCCTTTTACCAAAAATAACAACCAGACCGCAAATATGTGCCGCTTTCTACTGCCAAATGATGTTATGCAGCAGTCCTGGTAAGGGTCCAGAGTGCTCGTTTGTTTGCTACAACTTGGTATAATTTGAAGTTTTGCATAAAACTGGAATGTATTGTCCATAGTGGCTGGGTGATCCGTTTCCTGAAGACATTTTGAGAACGATCATTCTAACCTTGTTCTAGAATGATGGTAATAGCAGACACTTAGAGTGCTGTTTTAAATTCCATACATATGTTAATTTAATTAATTATCTCAAAACCCTATAGGGTAGGTACTATTATTGCCCTCATTTCACAGATGAGAAAACTGAGAGAAGTGAGGTTAAAGGAAATTATTCAAAGTCACAAGCCTAGAAGAGACAGAGCCTCTGTGCTTACCTACCATGCACTGTGCTTCCAGATGGTCTGGTGGGGGTGGGGTTGGGCTAGATGATTTGAAGGGCTATGATTTTCTAAGAATTGAAGATAGAGCGAGGATGAGTTCCAGATCCCGTGTGGTTTTTATTAGAGCCGCAGGTATGGTACTTGCACAGAGCGCTTTACTGAAAATAAAAAAGCAAGATTCTAATACCTGTTTTTTACGATGTTGGACAAGTTCATGCAAATTCTCTAACATCCAGGATTTTTTTTTTTAATCTATACAAGGATTTAATAATATAGATATTTTTTATCTACCTCATTGGGTGGCTGTAAAATTCAAATGAGAGTATGTGTACGAAAAATTTCATTAAATAGCTTGTAAAAGCCTACACCAATGCAGGGAATCATGTTTACTAATTCCAAGCCTGTTTTAGAAGCAAGGAGCTAGACATTTAAAAATGACTTAAAACTGAGATAATCTGCTTTCTCTGCCTTCTTTTTTTTTTTCATTTCAACCCAGTAACATATACACACACACCAAGAATTATGTTGTAAACGAGAGGGACTTGAAAAGGAATCTTATCAAAACATGTCCAATTGAAATGAGAAATGGCCCAGCCACCGTGAGCCTCTGACAAATTTATGGCCTAATCGTGTGACCTTACACATGCCAGACTACAAAAGTGATTTAGGGGCCAGACTCATAAAAGAGGAGGCTGGAATGCCTCAGGAATCAATTGTGTTTATGCCTTCTCAAGCATAGTTCTGCCCCACCAGGCACTTGAGTTAGAGTGCCACTGTGCCAGTGGGTCAGAAACAACCGGAAGGCCATGTTTTGCAAAACCAAGGAGGCTTTCCATCATTCTCACCTGTTTTTGATTATTCTGTTGCCATAAAGTCAACAAATGATATATTGATATACTTAAGAGCGTAAGTTCTAGAATCCTATTGCTTGAGTTCAAGTCCTACCTCTGCCATTAGCTTTGTGACTTTGGGCGAGTTATTTAAGTCTCTTTAAGTCTCAGTTTCCTCATCTGTAAAGTAGGCATTGTGATAACAGTCCCTACCTCAAAGGTTATTATGGGAGTTAATATTTAATAATATTTGTAATAGTATCTATATAAAATGCTTAGCCTAGTGTGTAGCACATTTAATAAGTCCCTAATAAATGTAAGCCCTCATGTTTTATTATTTCGGTAACAGCTTTATTGAGATAAAATGTACATACTTTTTTTTTAAAGCTCTCATTAGTTTTATAGGTATAGACCTGTTTCATGCACAGAGTTAGAGCAAACTTTTCCAATTTAACTAGTCTGTCATAAGAGTCTTTATCAGAAAAAACAAAAACAAAAAACAAAAAACCAGAAGAAGTAAACAACTTCTAATGACTGAACCTCCAGACATGGAATTTCCAAGGAATTAAATACTAGCAATTAATGTGTTTGCTCAGACCTGTCTAAATGCAGATGAACTCTATTTATTCCATGCCATCTGAGTTTGAAATACTGGATTGCTGGTTATTGGATTTCTTTTTTATTTTATTAGGCACACGTTCCTGTTACTCATCCTCTTTCTTATTCCTGGAATCGTAATGATGGTAGCATATGGATTAATCTCTTTGGAACTTTACCAAGGAATAAAATTTGATGCTAGCCAGAAGAAGTCTGCTAGAGGTAAACTAACAATCTTTTCACTGCATGTTTATGTCAAAAGATCACAATAGCTTGTTCTCTGTAACTTAAGTAGAGAAACCCACAATATATTATAGATTTGTAAAAGTATTATGAGACTGTGCCATAAGGGACAGCCATAAAACCGAGTATCTCTATTTCCTCATCTGTGCAATGGAGAAATCATTCCTCTCAAAAGGGTGCTGAGTGGAATAAAAGGAGATAATACACATCCCAAGGATAAGCTGAGGGCCCACGTGTCCCAGACTTTCCTTGATGGACCTCCTTCAGCACCCAAAGCTAACTGTAATTCCAGTCCCCCATCCTATATCCTCCCTTCGCAAAGCCTCGCCCCTTCCCCATGCAGTTCGATGTACTATCCACATGGCTTCTCCTTCTCACTCCACCTCTCCACTCCGTTCTTAACCATGTATAACAATCTCTAGCTTCTTCGGTGTTTGTTGATTTTTGCTCATTGTCTAGATTCCTCACAGTAAAAGCAGTCAGAGGCTTACAAGAAGCAGGGACCTTTTCCCCTGAGGAGCTGGGAAAAGGAAGTGTGTGAATATTCATTTTTTTAATAGTTTTTTTTTATCCTTACAATCTACATACATAAAATGCTATTTTATTATTACATATCATGTTATGTACATTATATATTATACATTATTTTGTTAATTTTAAGCAGTTTTGCATTTGAAGGAAAGGACTGGTATAGTTCCATACTTACCCATATTGCAGTCCCACGGGCGCCTGCCCAGTTCTTCAGTTCGAGTTTGGTTTGGCCCCCTCGATGGAAGGGCGGGGTGGGTCTCCATGCCTGCTGTCTGGCACGGCTCATCCCAGATGATAAGTGATGTCACTTGCCCACCCAGAAAGGAAACCGAGCGCCGGCAGCAGCGGCCGATACGAGGACAGTGACGGGTGTTACCTGCAGAAGTCCAAGCACCCACGCAAGCTGGAGCTTCAGCGCCTGTCGCCCGGCGGCAGCGGCAGGGTCAACCGCATCAGGAGCAGCAGCTCCGCGGCCAACCTGATGGCCAAGAAGCGGGTGATCCGCATGCTCATGGTCATCGTGGTCCTCTTCTTCCTGTGCTGGATGCCCATCTTCAGCGTCAACGCCTGGCGGGCCTATGACACGGCCTCCGCCGAGCGCCACCTCTCGGGGACCCCCATTTCCTTCATCCTCCTGCTCTCCTACACCTCCTCCTGCGTCAACCCCATCATCTACTGCTTCATGAACAAACGGTTCCGCCTCGGCTTCATGGCCACCTTCCCCTGCTGCCCCAACCCTGGTCCCCCAGGGGCGAGAGGAGAGCCGGGAGAGGAGGAGGAAGGCAGGACCACCGGGGCCTCGCTGTCCAGGTACTCATACAGCCACATGAGCGCCTCTGCCCCGCCCCCGTGACTCCACCCCGGCCCCCCAGCGCCGAAGGAGGGATGGGGGGACTGAGGAAGGAGCGAGCGAAGGAGGAGGGGAAAGGAGGCGAGAAGTGAGGGAGACGAAAGGCTCCATTTCCAGGGGTGACTCTTGTCCGCTTTTCATCCTTCATCCAGGTTCTGGGAAACACTGCTGGGGGTGGGGCCATGACTTGGTCTCTAGGCAGTTCAGGGCAGGAAATGTTCAATATTATTCGCCATCAGAAAACCTCAGCAGGCCAGTAACAGGAGTCCCACAGGGCTCGGGCTGCAAATGTGATCGCCAAGCACATGTTCCAATGGGGATGTGGACCCTACTGAGTTTAGAAGGTTCTAGAACATCCAAGGTGGATTCTCACTTCTATGCTCTGCTACTTCTGCTGATGCAGATTGTGGTAGCTGCTCTGTCCCTGGGGAGTCTAATCACTTATGCACATCCTGTGGCCACCCCCCTCATCTCCACCCCAAAAGGGAACAGGAAGCAAACCCTCTTTTGTCCATTTTCTGTAGTAAAGAATAATTTGACTTTTTCTTCTTGCGGTCGGTCAAGAACAGAGACACACGTTTATGTGGTTATCAGAATAGCATAAGAAACTTTTCCTCAAAAGTTGGAATTATATTTCTAAAAATAACAGAGAATATAAGGCAAATAGCTGGATGAAATGCTATCTTACTATAAAGAATATTAAGTGCCAGTAGGGGCATAGAAATCTATTTTTTTTCTACTTTAATGGTATCTATTGCTTAACACCACCTTTATAGCATGGTATTAAGCCCCATGGTTTCTTTGACTCGACTTTATTTTTCAGACTTATCTGGCGCTTTCTGTTTTCCAGAAAGACCTCCAGGTATAAAGGAGAGTTGGAACCTATGCATACCCCACCAAGGGTGGAACTGTGTAGTCAGGTCCAGAATAAAAACTGGCACACTTGGACTCAATTAACAAAACAGCTTTTAAATGTCAAAGCTATGTTTTTAAACATAATCTATGTATTTGCTAATGATTGTATTGATTTTTGTATGTGTGTAAACCGAACATATATGTTCTTTACATATAAGTTTATTTGGTGTGTTTAAAAAAAATAGTGAATGGATGTTGGAATTCAGCAAGTGTTATAATTTTACATTTCTTTACAACAGTTGGAGTTTCATGTGAACTTCTTTTCTTTGCAAAACTAGTGTTGAAATCTCCTCTAATTTAGAAATCTTAATTTAAAATAAGATATGAGCTATACATTTAGATAACAGAGAAGGCATTTCTAGAATAGAATGTGCCAATATAATATTTCTTTTCTTAAGGGCAACATTGTCCTGTCTATTTAAATAAATTAACACAGACATTTTTGAGCAAAACAAATTTACATGCTAGTGTAGGAAATAAAATAACAACCCAAACAAAAACCACAAGGAAACATTGAAGCTTCCATGCCTCCAAGCCTCCGACAAGTGAACTTTTCTTTTTCTTGATTTCATGGGGCCATGACTATCCATTGATCCAGGCCTGACACTCTGTATTGTACATAAGGGCCACTGATTTCAATATTGGAAAAAAATGTGGAAGAGGGGATGCGGAGGAGAGTAGCAAGAAGTGATCATGAATAGAGAAAGGGACACTGTATAATTTAAGAATATAATGAGTGTCACCATTTTGGGGGGTAGATGATCATGTGCTAATGGACAAGGAATTTGAGGTCAGACTATTTATTATAGATTTTCAAGCCAGACATTAGTTTTTCTGTTCCACAGACTGCAATATAATGTTAATATTTATAACCAGTCATCTCAGTCGAAGATTTCAAGGTAAAAATTCGACCAACTGAAATGCACATTACTAAAATGGTAATGGTAAAAGGTGTAAGAAATTGAAAATGTCGCCAATAGTTGAGTAAATCTTACAAAATCTATAATTTTCCTGCCAGAAGAATAAGCCTTCCCTTCTGACAGTGTTGGCCTATAAATTAGGTTAAAGTAGGAGCCCTCATCACTGAGAACTTCTGGAAGTTCCAAAGGTATATTAACCTAAAAACAGGCTGCCAGATTTTGCAAATAAAAATATAGGATGTCCAGTTAAATTCTAATTTTAATAAACAACATTTTTTTTGTATGAGTATGTCCCATCCACTAAAATACATTCCTGTAAAATAATTTTTGAATTACATAAAAATATGAACAAGATTTCTCAGATATAGACCAATAAAATGCCTCTGTTCACTAAATTTTTTGAAATGTCTTTTACATACTGAAAGCCCTTTAAAAAAAAAGAAGAAAAATGCTATTAACTTTCAGAATCTATGCCTGACCTTTGAGAATGGTACTATTGACAAGCTGATTTTACTCTATACAACATTTTTTTTTAACATAAGGCCATGCTAACATGCATTACCAATTTGAAATAAAATGGCCAGTAAAGAGAACGGATTCAAGTTTCTGGTATTGTCTAGTATCTTCTGGTAGCTTCTACTCATCAGCAAAGCAGACCATTATAACTTGAGTGTATCTTGGATCTTTGCTTAAACTGCGTGTTCCAGAGTTACTAGTTACTGTGATATTCTCTCACAATAAACCTGCAGGAGTGAATGGGCAGTGCATTCATCTATATGGCTGGTTACACATGTTAGTGTATGTTTAACAAGTGTCCCCCCCACCATTCAGTTAAAACGCAATCTTCATGAGGCCAGTGATAGTAGCTGCTAAACCTCCACCGTGTTTCCTGCCAGTGTTTTGCCCAGTACTCTGCACACTGTGAGTGCTCAATAAATCTTGTGACTGACTTCCGCTCTGCCTCCTGTGCTTTTTGGGGGATCTTCTTTCCGTCCACAGCAGTAATGCTCAACATGCTTGGGGGAAGGGATGTATCAGAATATCGATAGTGTTTTTCCAACTCTCTATATATCCCTACCCAAGATTCAGCTGTGTGAGCATTTGCTGCCATCTCTCCCTCCCCTCTTCCTCTCCTCCTGTATATCTGTGTAACTGAAGATGTTACAAATAGGAGGGTGTTGTACCTGTGAACAGCGTAAGACACAGATTAAAAAAGCATTGGTGGAAAGGACAAATACTGTATGGATCCATTCATGCGAAATATCTAAAGTCGTCAAAATTATCGAAACAGAAAGTAGAAAGGTGATTAGCGAGGGCTGGAGGAGGGAGGAGGGAGAATTAGTGTTCAGTGAGCACGGAGTTTCAGTGTCGCAAGAAGAAAAAGTTCTAAGTGGCAATCACATTGCTCTACAGTTCCTGGTCCTTGTGCTATAATGACCCCAAGGAATAAACATCCTTTCTCTGTCCCCATCTCCTCTCTCCCCTGACGGACGTTTGGTCCCCACCCTGAGCTCCCTGAACATGGAGGATTTCAGAGCTGGGTTTCTGTACTGCTGTCCTGGACGCTTCCATCTCTGTGTTTATTTTTAGAAGGAAGATAGCACACTTTGCCACTTCACCAGGAAGCCAAGAGACGCTATCAGTAATGGAGCTTTCACCTCTTTGGCGAGTTATCAACATTATTAAAATCCTTTATCCGAATCATCAGAGACAAATACAAGCCAACTTATCCATCAGCCTGTGGTGTAAAGCTTCCTGGTCTGTCCCTCCACCTGTTACCTTTTTACCAAATTCCCCTTCCCTGGTGAAATCTGCAGATTGTGGTTACCCGAAGGCCACCTCTAGGATGCCTGGATGTCCTCCACAACCCCAAAATTGTCATATCTGAAATGGAGCTATTTGTCATATCCCAAGCTACTTCTTCTGATTTTCTCTTCCTGCTAGTGGTACCCCAACTCTCTCAGGTTATCAGGCTCAAAATGGGGCTCATCTTTTAGAGGGTGGTATCGGGAAGTGGTGGAGAATGTGGACTTGGAGTCAGAAAGACTTGCATCCGTACCCCGCACCGAATGCTCACCAGCTGTGGGATAGCAGTTATTACCCAGGCCCCCAGCAACAGAGTCCTCATCTGTAGCACTCATCTCATAGGATTTTTGTGAAAATTAAATTTTGTTAAATAATTTTAAAGTCGTTAAACTTAAAATATTTTAAAGAATGTTAAAGGGGACTCAGATTGTGGGTGTGGACAGCCTCAGTGAGCTGTGCTACCAGAGCAGGAGCTGGCTGGAGGATGCATCACCTGCATCAGAAACTCATGCACTATTGGAGGCCCACACACAGTATGTTTGCAGGGAGGGTGGAAGTCTCTAGAAAACCTACAAAACTTCTCCCCAGGAGGAAGAGTCAGCATTTTTACATCTGCCATGAGGAAGGGAGGAAGGAAGGAAGGGAGGGAGGGAGGGAGGGAGAGAGGGAGGGAGGGAGGAAAGAAGGGAGGAAGGGAGGAAGGGAGGAAGGAAGGAAGGAAGGAAGGAAGGAATGGACAACTCTAATTGAAAAATCAGCTAAAGGCCTTGCCTGGGACCTATTCAACTTAGAGGAAAGGACGGAAGCTTCAAATTGGATGTGAGATAAAAGACTTGATTTACATCGTACTGAAGACCGAAAGATGAAGTTCTAATGAAGAGTTGGGGAATGCTATGGGATATGCCAGAGAGATCATGCAGGGAGTGTGGGGATGGGAATAATCTAACTGGTAGCGATTGAAGGCGGAGATAAGAGAAAAATAAAGCTATTTCCTAATTGTTCCACATCTTTCGATAAATGTGTTACATGTGAACAGTGTCTGGCAAACAGTAGGTACCTAAGGAATGACAGCCGTTATAAGCAATATCTAAGATACCTATTTCAGTTATTAGCCTGGCCTGGCTGGTCTTGTCAAGTTTTACTAAGAACACCCTAATCAGAATTATTTTTGTTACCTGAAACTAATATAAAATAATATTGAATGTCAACTCTAATTGAAAAATCAATATTTTTTAAAAAGAATTATTTTTGTTACTTATCACCCAGGAAGTCACAGTAGTTGTTAAACTGATCTCCCGACCTCCAATTGTCTCTCACCCCACTTCACCCCGCTCTGGTATCAGATTGGTCTTACCAGCGCGAGGCTGGGATCATCTCACTCCCTGCCCAGGACTCCTCGGTGGTTAGGCATCGCCTAGAAGCCCCACTTCCTTAGCTTGGCACTGAAGTTTCCAGCAATTGAAAGTCACACCTTCCTTCTTTATCAGTCAAGTTTCTCTTCCTTTTACAGCAGCGTGATTTGCTGTTCCCTGATGTCCTTACGCTCGTGACGCCTTTTTTTCCCTCCTTAGGTCTTTCTGAAAATCCCTCTCTTTCTT